CTTTCAGGTGAATCTCTCTTATTTTTAAGAGGGGCCGGATGTCAGAATCCAATTATATTTCATCTTTAATTATCAAACATAGAAAACCCCAATTCTGCCTTCTCTGGATTCTGCCATAAGAGGGAGAGAAGGGGGAGAACAAAGGGGCTTTATGGCCCTCACTTCCTTCAGTACACTTCAAAGAGCTGAATGCTGAATGTGTGTTTATTGTAACCTCCATGCGTTAGCATACCAAAGAAGGGTATTTGCCTTTCATGTAGTTATCTGAAGTCTCCATCCAGACGGAAGAAAGAAGAAAGGGGGTGGAATTGTGATACTTGAAACTATCACTGGAAGGGGGGTTGATTGGGTGGGACTACTGGGGAACCCCTTAAAACCTTGAATGGAAGAGCTTGAACCCCAAGTCCTGTCTAGCATGCCTGCAACCATTTTCTCTTAATAAAGGATTCCTGTTGGAAGAATTATTCCAAGAGTTCTGTCTTCTTAAGATGCAAAGTGGGGTGGGTCCTTACACACCCGTAGTCCTTCGTATCCCAGGGAAGTCACCATGAGGAAATTTCCTATATGATTTTTATATATATATTGGGGAACAAAGCACCAAGAGAGTTTCAGTATGAGAGAAAATGTGAAAATTGGTCTCAACTACTGGGCTTGAACTACTGGGCTTGGATGCTTTTTCCCAGAGTAGAAATCTACCATACTGAAAGATGGTTTTTTAACCATGGCCTGGATGAATGAGAATCTCCATTGAAAGTTGTCTCTTGAATTTCCTAATCTGAAAAAGGGTCCTGAGGCTTTCATGATACCTTTCCTTGGAATTCAACCATGAGGTTGTTGCAGACTGCCAAAGAGATGATGATGCAATAAAAATAGGAAAATCTACTCTCTCTCTCTCTCTCTCTCTCTCTCTCTCTCTTTCTCCCTGTGCCCCCAATACATATATACACACATTAGAATAGAATAGAATAGAATAGAATAGAATAGAATAGAATAGAATAGAATAGAATAGAATAGAATGGAATGGAACCTTGGAGGTCTTCTAGTCCAGCCCCCTGCTCAAACAGGAGAACTTTTACCATTTCAGACAAGTGAAAAGTCTCTTCTTAAAGACGTTCAGTGATGGAGCGCCCATGATTTCTGGGGGTAAGCTGTTCCGTTGGTTAATTGTCCTCACTGATAGGAAGTTTCTCCTTAATTCCAGGTTGTTTCTCTCTTTAGTCAGTTTCCAATAGTTGTTTCTTGTCCTGCCCTCTGGTGATTTGGAGAATTGTTTGACACCCTCTTCTTTGTGGCAGTCCCTCAAATACTGGAATACTGCTATCATGTCGCCCCTACTTCTTCTTTTCTTTAGACTAGCTAAACCAAAGTCTTGCAACCATTCTTCATATGTTTTAGTCTCTAGGCCTTTGATCATCTAAGTTGCGGTGGTTCTCCTCCTACCTCTCTGACAGGTCGCAGTCAGTGTTGGCGGGCGAACAGAGATCTACCCCTAGGCGCCTCGATTATGGGGTGCCTCAGGGCTCGGTCCTGTCCCCCCTCCTTTTTAACATCTACATGAAACCGCTAGGGGAGATCATTCGGCGACACGGGGTGAGGTATCATCAGTATGCAGATGATACCCAATTGTATATCTCCACCCCGTGTCCTTTCAGTGAAGCAGTCGATGTGATGTGCCGGTGCCTGGAAGATGTGAGGGTCTGGATGGGGGTGAACAGGCTTAGACTCAACCCTGACAAGACCAAGTGGCTCTGGGTCTTGCCCCCCAAGGGTCATCCTGATGGTCCATCATTAGCCCTGGGGGGGGGTAAATTTACCTCCCTCAGTGCAGGCACGCAACTTGGGTGTCCTCCTGGACTCACAGCTAAATTTGGAACAACATTTATCGGCTGTGGCCAGGGGGACCTTTGCCCAGGTTCCCCTGGTGCACCAGTTGCGGCCTTATTTGGACCGGAAGGCTCTACTCACGGTCACTCATGCCCTTGTCACCTCAAGACTGGATTACTGTAATGCGCTCTACATGGGGCTACCCTTGAAGAGCGTTCGGAGGCTGCAGTTGGTTCAGAATGCAGCTGCAAGAGCGATTGTGGGTGCACCAAGGTACACCCACGCGTCACCTATTCTCCGTGAGCTGCACTGGCTTCCTGTGGGTCTCTGAACTCAATTCAAGGTGTTGGTTATCATCTTTAAAGCCCTTCATGGCTTAGGACCAGGTTACTTACAGGACCGCATACTGCCGCATAGTTCCCAGAGACCGGTGAGGTCCCACAGATTGGGCCTCCTTCAGGTCCCGTCGGCCAGACAATGTCGGCAGGCGGGCCCTCGGGGAAGGGCCTTTTCTGTGGTGGCTCCGACCTGGTGGAATCAACTTCCCCCCGAGATTCGAACTACTCCCACCTTGCCGGCCTTTAAGAAAGCCATTAAAACTCTCTTGTTCCGGCAGGCCTGGGATGATGTCCCCAGGGGGGCCGGGATACGACTGGACACGCTGTATGAATGCACTTATTTTATTGTTTTATCATTATATTTATTGTTTTAATTTTGTACGCCGCCCTGAGTCCCTAGGGATTGGGCGGCATATAAATTTTATTATAGTTATAGTTCTCTGAACTTTTTCCAAAGTCTCAACATTACCTTATCACTAACTAAATATAAGAACATGACTCATGAGGCTCTCCAAAGCTTTCCTGAATGTTACTGATTTGTACCTACTCAATATCTTGGTATACAATTTATAGCTATAACAAAGATTTCTGTTCAGCAATTCACAGGTTCCCAATGTTGCACATCCTTCTTCAAGAGACAGCATTTAAGATACCCAGCAAAGCCAGGTGGCTGGACTGAAGTTAACTGATCGAGATATTTGGCATTTGAAGTTAATAACATTCTTCCCATTCTTTCCCAACCTGGTTTTTATGAGGTTCCTTACTACCAAAGAAAATATTAATTTCAAATTGACTCCCCTGATCAGTTGATCAACATTTTATTAGAGATGCCAAAGTCTTTAGGAATAGATTATTAATTGTGTGTTAAGAGGAAAGAGTAGATTAATTAGGGTGAAGTTAAAGGCCATTCTGGAGATTGCCCTTCTGACCTCATATCTTTAATGGTTGGTTGAGAAATACTAACCGGGTTCATACAGGAAAAAAAATCCTCAGGGTTTGTAAATAGCAAAATGAAATGGCACCTCATTTAAGGCCTTAGTTCATGTTAGTCTTTAGGGAGCTGACCAAGCTGAGTCCAAGATAAGAGATACTTTTGTTATCAACATTTTAAAATTATTATTTATTATTACTGCTCTTGTAATATCTGTAAACTGCCTAGAGCCCGTGAGGCTTAAGGATGAAATGCATTAATAAATCAGAAATGGGTAACAAAATTAAAAAGCCTCTGCAGTTCAACTTGCATATCACACTAAATTCCAACCCAGGTTAGCAAATATAATTGCTGTGTTCACATAACATGCCATGCCTAAACAAATAAGCTATGTTATGGTTTAATTTAATGGCCTGATACTAGGTCAAAGTCTGAATTCCTATAGCACACTCAACAACCACAAATTACCTTATTTTATTTTCAACAGAATGTCTAGAAATGGCCTTGGGAGACAGGAGGGAGAGTTGCAGACTGGATAACAAGTATGTAGAAGGTATTTCAGCTCAGAAGGAGGGAGTATGTGGGAAACATTTCAGAAGAGACCCTCCCTAGTTTTCTGGAAGGGAAAAGGAAAAGCGGGGAAAAATACTTTCCATCTTGCAAGATTCTGTTAATGTAAATTTTCAGTAAAGATAGAGCTAGTAGTCCTGGCTATGCTTCTTATTTGGACTACCTTGCAGGGCTGGAACAATTATGATGTATGAACATAACCATATCAAAGGCATTTCCATTTATATGGTTATTGTGTAATGCAGTGAAAAAAACATTGAAAGACAATCTTCTGGAGATGTATTAATATGCACAGACAGCAGATGCTGTTAGCTGTCGCAATAACACCTATAAAAACTTTTGAGAAGTTGTTTGAATTCCTCCTCTCCAATTTTCTTAGAAGACACATTGGTGATGCTCAGGTCATTAGCAAGGAACTTTTGGGGAGATAACTATACATAATACAAAATAATAAAGTTGGAAGGGACCTTGGAGGTCTTCTAGTCCAACCTCCTGCTCAGGCAGGAAACCCTATACCATTTCAGACAAATAGCGGTCCAGTCTCTTCTTAAAAACTTCCAGTGTTGGAGCATTCACAGCTTCCGGAGGCAGGTTGTTCTACTGGTTAATTGTTCTAACTGTCAGGAAGTTTCTCCTTAGTTCTAGGTTGCTTCTCTCTTTGGTTATTTTCCATCTGTTGCTTCTTGTCCTGCCCTCAGGTGCTTTGGAGAGTAGCTTGACTCCCTCTTCTTTGTGACAGACTAGGCAGGTAAGGTTTTGAGAAAGCTACACACAACCACAAGATTAAATACAGGCCATCCTCAACTTACAACGATTCATTTAGTGACAGTTCAAAGTCACAACAGCACTGAAAAAGGTGCCTTAAAACCTTTTTTCACACTTACGACTGTTGCAGCATCCCTGTGGTCATGTGATCAAAATTCAGACACTTGGCAACTGACTCATATTTATGACAGCTGCAGTGTCCTGGGGTCATGTGTTCCCCTTTTGCAACCTTCTGACAAGCAAAGTCAATGGGGAAGTCAGATTCACTTAACAATTGCGACAAGATCACAAAATGGGACAAACTCACTTAACTGTCTCTCTTAGCAACAGAAAGTTTGGTCTCAATTGTGGTCGTAAGTCAAGGACAACCTGTAATGAAGTTGGTCAACAATTAGCATTAATGTATCTCATTAACATACTAATCCAAAAGCCAACCAACTGTATTTTGCCTTAATACAATGGTTGAACCCAGGCTTGGGCTGTTTTTGTGACAACTGGCTAATATAATTCCTCTCTTTAAAACCTACATTTATTGAATCTCCTCATACCCCTGAATAAGAAAGAAAGAAAAATTGGTTTGGGATTTTTATTTTTATTTTTTACAAATAAAAGTTTGTATTTTAGAGTAAAAAAAAGTTTGAAAAATAAATATATCTACATATATCTACACGTCTAGTCAAGCATTGGAATGCTACATAAAGAAGGTGCATCAAATATGGACAAAGGGAGATGGCAGATAAGTTCATTTTTCCATAACATCCTTTGTTGCATAAATCTAGGAATGTACAGAATGAGGCCCTTTTACTAATTTTTGTGCGAGGAAGTAGATTTTTTTTTTTTTTTTTGAGACTGAACAAAATCTGCTCAAGTGCAAAAGTAAAACAGACCTTCTTGGATTTTAGAAAAATATACATTGTGCTCGATGCAGTCATATACAAGACAAACATTTGAAGCAATATTTTTAAAGAGCTATACAGAGAGAGAACTTTTAAACCACAATCACCATAGAAACAAGCTAGGACAAGAGCTTCTCAGCCAGATTGCATATCCCACCACGTGTTTCTTTGGACATTATGGTTCATAACCAAAGCTAAACCTTGTAAGGAAAGGAGCTAAAGTGTCCTGTGATTTAGACAAGGAAGGAATTCCCTTCAATGAAAATGAGATGAAATGCTTGTTTCCTGAATCAACTTTAAAAAAAAGTCTCATAGAGCGAATGAACAATCTTTGATGGACTTTTGTTATAATACAAAAATATGGACATGAGGCCTAGACTCTTAAGTGAAGTTGTGGCAATTAACCTGGTTAAACTATTCTTGATCCCTTATGACATTTTAAATAAGGAATACTCCACTTAGCTCCCCCTTCCCCTTGTATTTTTTTGGCTTGGGAGAAAAGAAGGTACCCCAAAGAAGGTTGCATCTGTCTCATTCCCAAATCTGTACAGGTAGTCCTCATCTTACAACAGTTTGTTTGTTTAGTAAGCGTTGGAAATTACAATGAAAAAAGTGACTTATGATCATTTTTCAAACTTATGACCATTGCAGCATCCCCAGGGTCACATGATTTACATTCGGATGCTTGACACTTGACTCACATTTAAGACGGTCGTGATCCCCTTTTGCGACCTTCTGACAAGCAAAGTCAATGGAGAAACCAGATTCACTTAACAACTGTATTACTAATTTAGCCATTTAAGTGATTCACTGAACAACTGTGGCAAGAAAGATCGTAAAATGGGGCAAAACTCATTTAACAGCCGTCTTGCTTAGCAACAGACGTGGGGCTCAACTGTGGTCGTAAGTTGAAGACTACCTGCATTGACAGAAAAATAAAGAGGAATTTGGACAGGACAGTCTTGGGGGAAGCTGTTTAATCCCCACAAGCAAACTCCCTCTAAAATCAAATGCCAGAACAGCATAAACAAGTTCTAGTGAAATGGGTGGGAAGGACTTTCATTGTATTGTCACATTTGAGGTTGTACATACTGCGTTTCCCCCAAATACTTCTGGATGCATAAAATGCCAGTTCTCCACCTGGGCATTTTCTGGGAACCCCATGGACAATCTTCACCCAACAAAGAGGCACAGGAGGAGGAGCAATATCAAGGAGCAGGAGAAAAAGGGAGAGATGTTTTCTCCTGTTCAGTACGATCTTTGGAATAACAGGGGAACTGTTCCATTGGCAATGGTGCTCCTTGTTCATCCCAGTCCCAGCTTTTTGTAGACTTTTCCTTCTTCTCCCTCAATGTCCTTTGACTCCTTAATAGAGGAGCACCTTTGAAAATGGAGGACTCCATTCACTAAGACAAGGAGATAAAGATAAAGATCCCTTTATCTTCAGGAAGCTCTTTTCCCGTGGAAGACTGTGATATCTTGGAGAGAGTTTTCTAGAAAATTCAGTTCCAGAAAGAATAAGATCCTGTGAATTATACAATCAAATAAATAGTCAATATTATGTCTACACTCCATGAATATTCACTGAAGTTTATATTTAACTTTGGGAGCTCAGCAGTCCAAGAGAAACAACACGTGACATCTTAAACCATGCAAGCAAATATAATTGCGATTCCCAGAATACGCTGAACGCCCAGCAAAACATATTATGGCTTAAGCAGAGACCTGATTCTCAAAATATACTAAGAGTGGCTGAGTTCCCATCACATACTGAGGCATGTTGCAGCATGTTGTCCACAGTTTCCTTACTCTTTTAGGGGAGATTTCAGTATTAGGAAATCTCATTAAGTCAATGGGGAAATGAGTTTATTTAGCAAAGGGGATCTGCTTTCCCAAAGATTGGACAACCATTTGTCTGAAATGGTATAAGGTCTCCTTATTGAGCAGAAGACCTCTGAGGTCCCCTCCAACTCTATTATTCTGTTAAAACAGATATTCAGCTGGCCTATATCTAGATTGGAGAGATGGGGATTTTTGACAAAGAATTTGCAAAAGGAATTCCCCATTTCCAAAACATCAAGAGGAGGGTGAATGATGACGATTAAAACTCTGGTCCCAAGCATTTTGCAGATCTTCATGTTTGCCCAATGTGACTGGATATGCAGCACAATCACTACACTGTACAAATATTAAAAGACTCACAACTAGACCTTTTACCTGAAAACTTTCCGAAGTTCAACTTGTCAAGCTTGGGATTTCTGCTGTGAACGAAGCTTTGCCAACATTCCTGTGTCCTTGGGCAGCTGAATTTTGGGGGGATTTCTGAAAAAAAAAGGCCAAATTGAGTCCCATAAGAGAGAGTACTGAGAATGGAAAACCCAGGTAATAATCATTACGGTAAAAAGATGAAAGGATATTTTTACTACATTATCATTCAAGTTACTGGATTGTTATCATACTATATATTTCAACAAAAGTGTTTTCTTCATAAGATCTACTTGGATGTCTAAAAGATCAAGATTACACTAATGATTTGGATTTCTCAAGAAAAATATGTATGTTCAACACTTTAATGTAGGAATAGGCAACTGGATACTTTTCACTGTTTTGGACTACCCCAGCCATCATTCTCAGAGAGTATGGCTATAGAGAATATGTGTGTGCCTGATCAAGAGGCCTAAAGAAGACATTATAAAAAATAGCCCTTCTGGGTTCAAACTACTGTACCCTATTGTGTTTTTAAAAAGGAGATTTCCATGTAATCCACATGTATCCTAGAGCAGAGGTCTTCAACCTTGACAACTTTAAGACTTGTGGACTTCAGCTCCCAGAATTCCTCAGCCAGCATAGCTAGTCTTAAAGTTGTCAAGGTTGCAGACCCCTGTCCTAGAGAATGCATGAGGAGGCAAGTGACATAATAATAAAAGTGATGGGTTTTTTTTGTTTCTACCAAGTATCTATGATGACTTCCATGGGGCAGCGTTGCTTGTGGCAAAGTTCACACACAGTTGTGTGTGAGCAAAGTTATAAAGGGCTTTATTTCAGTTTGGCTGAGAATGCTGTATGAACCCAGCCATTGTGAATTTTATAGCTTATTGAGGTGGTCCTTCTCAGAAGGAGAGTAGTAGCAACATAGATTCCATTCTGATAATGGATCCAGCAATGGAGGCATGGCAGAAACAGAGACCATTCTTGTAGATTTTGACCATGAAATAGAGATATGTCCACACAACCTACCACCCATTACAATAAAGAAAGAAGGGTGCTTGGAGGAGCCCCATGAAAGCTGGGTCTGCTCAAGAGGAAGTCACTACTTTAAGTAGCCACTGCAAGGTTTTACACAAGTGTGTTTGCTGGATCAACCTAGATATGCTAGAAATTGGAACTTGAATTTTGTGCATGAAAAGCTGGACTTTTGTTATACTAAACTCAGGGACCTTCCAAACTTTTTCAAAAACCTAAGAGCTTCACTTACCTTGCTGTGTTGAGCCAGATGATACCTTGATGGCAGTAATAGAGGCACTCCTTGTCCATTAAGCTGGCACAAGAACATCTTTTGGTCCTCTGGTGCTGACTATTGATTGCTAGGTGGTGGGATTCTGCTGTCGCCTGGCCTGTTTGTATGTCCAGAGGAAAGGAAAGAGCAGAGAAGATGAATCAGTCACAGCTCTGGCTGGGAAGAGCTAGGAACACATCTTGGTATGTAAACAGAGTGATTAGCTTGCCCCCTAGGTTTCCAACTTAATAGTTTTATAGCAGCTACAGCCTTAGTTAATGCCCAAGATTGCAAGATCATAAATGTTGTGTTCTTTTATTCACTCAGGATGTTTATGGACCCCACAGCTCTTTGGCATTGCTCAGCAAGAAACCAGAAGCCAAAAGTGATACTGGACATCTAGTCTAGAAGTACAGTTTGGCCGTGTTTGCAATGCCTCACGTTTATCAGTAGAGAGATGGTTTCATTAGCTGGAGAGATGGATTCATTAGGAAATGAGATCAACACCCCCAAGAACTGTCAGAGCATGTCTAGAGGGAGTTGGATAATAGTTCTCTGTTTGGCTTCTTTCTTTTCTAAGTTCTGTCCCGATCACACAAAGCAGGGCAAGCTAGAAGTGTGTCAAAGCATGTCAAAAGGACTGAGCCCTTTTAAAAGTATTATTCTGCCTTTGAGAAGGTTGCAAACAAAAGCCAAGTCTTTCCCCCCCCCACCCCCCAAAAAATAGCAACCCAGAGGAGGTAGAGGGAGAGGCAGGGGGTTTTAGTCATTGGGATTTGTGCTAAGAGTAATATCAGAGGAGCTTGAAAAGCCAAACTTCACTAGAGCTGCTTCCTCCAATCTGGAGTCACCTAAAAGCAGAAAACCAAGTTTGGCTTCGCTGCATCATCAAAATGGGGATGGGAGAAATGTTGAACCTTGCTAGTCATAACAATTGTTTGGAAGGTACCATTCTCATGTCTATCTCAACCGATGCTCTCCTTAGTTCTTCTGAATTAGATAAGATAACCTTTATTGTCATTTTTTTACTGTGGGCACAACGGCACACATCAAAAATGAAATTTAGTTGAAAAAATGAAATTATTCTGGGAATGGAGGGCAAAGGAGTGTCAATGCTTATCTGAAATGACTTTTATGAATCCTTGAAATTCCTATTTCTGCATTGGAAAGGACACTTTATTATTTATTATATAACTTCATTCTCTTCTTTTAATTCTCACAATTGAAGGCTGAAAGTAAACAGTTGGAGAAAATAGTTCTTTTCTGCTGTGCAATCTGGCTCTCACTCCCCTAAAAATATGCTTTACCATTTCATTCTGAACAAATCAGTTTTCAATAACTGACAGATTTAAGTTGGAAGTAAGGAAGCCAACTGCCTCCTAATGAACTAGATGTTGGCCATCCTGTGCTGAAAGCTGGGAGTTCAACACCATACTGAAGGGCCCTACACTCTAGATTGAAGGGAAAATAACATAATCATAGGGCTGGAAAAGACCTTGGTGGTTTTCTAATCCAACACCCTGCTCAAGCAGGAGACCCTATATCATTGCAGACAAATGGCTGTCCAATGTTTTCTTTAAAATCTCCAGTGATGGAACACCCACAACTTCTGAAGGCAAGCTGTTCCACTGGTTAATAGTTCTCCCTGTCAGAAAATGTCTCCTTAGTTCTAGAAAGATTTCTAAAGGGATTTCTGACAGAGAATTAGCAAAAGGAGTTCTCCATTTCCAAAACTTCAAGAGGAAGGTGAGCAATGACTATTATAACTCTACTCCAAAGTATTTTGCAGAACTTCAGACATGCCCAATGTGAGTGGATGTGCAGCAGAATCACTACAAAATCACCATACAAATATTAAAAGACTCACAAATAGACTTTTTACCTGAAAACTTTCCAAAGTTTAACTTGTCAAGCTTGGGATTTCTGCTCTGATGAAGCTTTGCCAACATTCCTGTATCCATGGGCAGCTGAACTTTCGGGGGATCTCTGGAAAAACAAGGCCAAGGTGAGTCCCATAAGAGAAAATACTGAGAAGAGCAAAATAAAGAGAAAGAGGGAAGGTATTAATATTTCTTAAACATGTATTTGAGTTGCTTTTTTAAAAGCTTTGTTTTTACTCTCCAGCTTTCTTTCTCTCCTCTTTCTCTTCCTTTCTTTGTGTCTCTCTCTCTCTCCCCCGTGCGTGTGTGTGTGTGTGTGTGTGTGTGTGTGTGTGTTTAATAGAGGAAGGATCCAATTCTTCAAAAAGTTTATAGCTGAATTTACTTATGCAAGATTTTCTAAGAATCCAGTTTAATGATTATAATGGTAAAAAGATGAAAGGACATTTTTTTTAATACATTGCCATTCCAGTTATTGTAAAGAATCTAAAGAGTAGCCCCTCTGGGCTAAAATTGTTCTACTCTGTTGTGTTTTATAAGAGGAAATTTCAGTGTAATCTATGGGAGTCCACAGAGTATGCGTGTGGGGGCAAATGACATAGTAATAAATGTGATGTTTTTGTGGTTTCCACCAAGTATCTACAATGATTTCAATGGGGCAGCTTTGCTAGTGGCAATGTTCACACACCACAATAAGTTACAATGAGTTTTATTTGGGTCTGGCTAAGAATGTTGTATAAACTCAGCCATTGTGAGCTCCATCACTGGAGATTTTTAAGAAGAGACTGGACAGTCACCTGTCTTGAGACGGTATAGGTTCTGCTTGAGCAGGGGGCTGGACTAGAAGACCTCCAAGGTCCCTTCCAGCTCTATTCTATTCTATTCTATTCTATTCTATTCTATTCTATTCTATTCTATTCTATTCTATTCATAGCTTTTTGAGATGGCCTTCTCAGAAGGACATCAATAGCTGATCAGCAACGTAGATTCCATTCTGGGAGCTAGCATCCAGCAGTGGAGACATGGCAGAAACAGAGACCATTCTTCTAGATTCTGACTATGAAATAGACATTTGTCCACCCAGCTATCATCCGCTACAACATAGGAATCCAAATAGGAGGATGCTAACTTGCTTGGAGGAACTCTAGGAAAGCTGGGTCTGCTCAAGAGTAAATCACTACTCTGAGTATCCTGCTAGTAGTGATCAGCCCCAACTATACCTGCATGAAGGATGGGAGCTCTCAATACTTCAGCCTCCTGAGCGTACTCCAATGTTGGAATAGCTTTCCTGTCAGCCTCTTGATATATATCTGTCCATACCTGATTTACTTTGATTCAAAATAACATTGTCTTATTGGTTTAATCCTGTGAACTTTGATTCCTAGTGTAGAATTTGTGTATTTTGAACCCTGGACTGGGCTATGACTACGCCTTTGCCAAATACGCCTATAGAAAGTAGCTCTTCTATATTCAACTTGGTCTGATGTCTCTAAGTATTTTGGGATGTTTGGCATAATGGGCAAATAAATTGAGATACTTGCTGAAGTGAGAAAATTTAATCGTAGGCTGATTCAAGGAAATTTCCATCCTGTATAGAGTTCCCTCTATCAATCTCCCAAGAATCTTTGTTGTACATATCGGGGTTAGGATTAGGAATATACTCTTGCTTTTTATACTACTTACTGAGGATTGCCATGACAGAAAGTTGCACAGATGGTGTCCTTGAAATGTGAGCACTCACATGTGGGGAGGGACCTCTTCTTTCGTGCTTTAGGACTTCCCAGCCCATAAGGTACAGAGTGGCTGATTGTGAAAGAAGAAAGCAACAGTAAGTTAATCTCCATGGTTGATTGGAAAGACATTTATGATATAGGTTTGGTCAGTAGCCAAGGAAATTGAACAATAGCTAGACATCTCTGCAGTCACTATGAGGGAGAGCAATCTCCTTGCTCCAGATACACTAAGCCATGGTGGTATTCAATTGGCCTTGAATAAGTCTGATTTAGAATCTCTGCTGAAGAGATTTGCAAATTGTGGTTTGTGGCTTGGCAAATAAATCCTTATCTCACATTAGGACAGAAAACCCAATGCAATTTCCCTGGCACTGGATGCTTGGACCTAGATCAAAGATGGATGGCTCTCTAAAGGCAGTTGGACTACAGCTCCTCTCATCCCTGATCAATGGCCATGCTTCGTGGGATTAATAGGAGCAGGAGGACGCAGCATTGCTAATCCAAATTAGGTTATATACATTGGGTATTTCTGGAATTCATGTGAAAAAACAATTACTTTAAGCACAATTAATTTTAATGAGACCTAAGCATAACTAAAGGGCAGGGCTATGGAACAATGGTTGACTTTTTGTTCTTCATGCATAAGGTCATAGTTTCAATCAGTTACAATTTTCTGAAGTAGTTGTGATCGGTCCAATGAACAATCTTGGGTTGGATGACCTGATTGTCAGAGTGGACAAAAAGATGTTTTCTCTGCTCCTATGATGTCCACCAACTCACATGGCTTAAAGTTCTCCAGGCAAATTTCTGGAGGATAAAGCTATCAATGATGCACAGGGGTGTCTGGATGGGGGATTATTTCCAAAACCACAGGGTGGTGTCCACGAAAGCATAAATCTGAAGCAGCAGGTTCCCTTAAGTTCTTTTTATGGGCTTCCATCAACACCTAACTGATCAGGATGAGAACAGGATGCTTGGCTCAAAGGGCCTTGGATCTGATCCAGTTGGATTCCTCTTATACAGGCAGTCCTCAACTCACAACCAGTCTTTGCACTTATCACTGTCACAGCATCCCAGCATTCACCTGCTTAATGACTGCAACCATTTATGACTGTAAGTCTAGAGTCAAGTACAGTTGTACACTGAGGACTAACTGTAGTCCCTGCTGCTACCTTTTCATATTGACCAATCTGAACTTTAAGAAGCTCATTTGTTTAAAAAGAAACCAATAAACTCTGATAAACGTTGCAGCTTCAGGTGACCTGCGGGGCCTGTTAGTCTCTTTCCCCCAGCCTTTCCCCTTCTTAAAAGTAAAAAAAATAAATAAAACAAAACTGGAGAGAATGACATGCACCTTCCTCACTGGACTGTTACTCAAGACTGCAGGTTAGCAGGCATAATTACAACCATGCCTAAGCAAGTGCAGTCTGTTTGGCTTGGATCCTAAGCAGCTCAAGAGAGACTGTTGGAGAACTGTTGGGGTCTTACCATATTGTGCAACCGGCCAACCCTTTCTTGATAATTATATGTATCTGAGGCTATTCACCTTAACTCCCTAACAAACAACAATCAGCCCTTTGAAGCATTTATATTTTCACCAATCACTGTGTAATCAGACAATACTGCATTCTAACCACTGTGTGGTTAGAGATTTGTGTTTCCTGGATCTAGATACGCTGAAGACTGGAACTTGAATTTTCTGCATGAAAAGGCAGACTTTTGCTATACCAAGTCCAGGGACCCTGCACATATTTTCAAAAACCTAAAAGCTTCACTTACCTTGGTGTGTTGATCCAGATGATACCAAGATGGCAGAAATAGATGCACTCCTTGTCTATCCAGCTGGTACAAGAACATCGCTTGGTCCTCTGGTGCCGACTGTTGTTTCCCAGGTAGTCAGATTCTGCTGTCGCCTGGCCTGTTCACATGTCCAAAGGAAAAGAAAGAGCAGAGAAGAGGAATCAGTCACAGCTCTGGCTGGGAAGAGCCAGGAACGCATCTTGGTATGTAAACAGAGTGATTAGCCTGCCCCCTAGGTTTCCAGCTTAACAGTTTTGTAGCAGCCACAGCCTTAGTTAATACCCGAGATTGCAAGATCATAAATGTTGTGTTTTTTATTCACTCAGGATGTTTACAGACCCCACGGCTCTTTGGCATGCTCAGCAAGAAACCAGAAGCCAAAAGTAATATTGGACATCTCACCTAGGTGTACAATTTGGCCCGTGTTGGCAAAGCCTCATGTTTTATCAGTAGAGAGGTAGATTTATTAGCAAGTGAAATCAACACCAGCAAGAACTGGCAGAGCATGGCTAGTGGGAGTTATGTCTTTGGCTTCTTTCCTTTCTAAATTTAGTCACAATCACCTAAAGCGTGGGCAAGCTATGAGTATGCCAAAAGGACTGAGCCTTTTTTTTTTGTTTTGTTTTGTATTATTTTTGCTTTGAGAAGATTTTTTAAAAGGCAAGTCTTTTTTCCTTCTTCTCAAAAATAGCAGACCAGGAGAGGGAGAGAGAGAGAGAAAGGGTTTTAATCATTGGGATTTATGCTAAGAGTAAAATCGGAGGAGCCTGCATCCCTGCAAAGCCAAACTTCACTAGAGCTTGCTTCCTCCAGCCTGGAGTCCCCTAAAAGCAGAAAGCAGTTTGGTCCTGCTGCAGGGCTTGTCGGAGGATGGAGAAGGTAGTTAGCATCTGGCTGACAGGGGGGGGGGGTCAAAAGCTACGGCTCCTTCCCAAGCAAAATGCATATTTAAAAAAAAAAAAAATAGCAGGATTTAAAACCGGCACAAAGTGAGCCCCCAAATAGTTATCCTTTAAAAAAAAAAAATCCTGACGGTTTTCTCACCTTCTGGCTGCAGGACACAGAGGGCGACTGCAAAAGAAAAGAAACAGGACAGATTGTTTACCATTGTGGCTACCTTAATCCTTTAAGAGGCGGCCAATTTGCTGCCCCTTTCCCTCCCCACAGCTGCCCAGAGACGCTTCTGAGGTTTCAGGTCTCCGCTGCAGGTGTTTTATAATCCTGCCGGCTGCGCGTCACAGGCGCCCGAGGGCCCGCCTCTCACCTCGCCCTCCCTGCGTGGGACGGGGGCGCCCTTCGGGTGGCGAGCCAAGGGGGCACCGAGCCAACGAATCATCCCGTCGCTCTGCCGCCGCTGCCTTGCCTGGCTGATCGGGTTGCGCCCTTCGTCAGAACGCCTGTTCCGCAGCATTCAGACGTTCATCTCCCCTTCCGAGGTAACTTCGGATTCATACAAGAAGCGACCCGAAGGCTGGATGTGGCCGGACTCCGAAGTAATAGAGGGAAGTCAGCGATCTCCGCTCTGGCTGACTCGTTGCCTGGATTTAGAGCACAATTCCATCATCCTTAGCCCCGCCGAACTGGAGGAGTGGGAGTTTCAGTCCAACGTTCTGGAGAATTCCAAGTTCGAGAGAGTTGGGTTTGAAAGGAATGATTTAGTACTGAAAAAAAGGCAAGTTCGCATCCCGTGAGTGGGTGACGGTTGGCAAGATGACCCCTTCCTGCACCGGAATTCAGCTTGGATGCTTTGTATTCCTACAACCCTCTAACGATTTCTCTAATCATAGTTTTACTCATTGAACCAAGTTGTCTGAGTGCAGAGAACCACAAACCAATCAACCACGTTTTTTCTCCTTCTAGCAACAACTCCACAAACTGACATACATCATGCCTGTGCTTATATAGGGTGTACACACCTGTAGGCAGGCAGGCAGGCTATAAGGGTGCCATCTCCCATTTTCTCCCACGAATATCTCAGCATTTAGTGTTTGGAGATTAAATGTTCCAAGAAAAAAAAGCGCCTACAGATTTGAAGATAAATTTAAGCAGGAAATCCATCCATGGGGTCTAATGTCCTACCAGGTTTGGTCCCCAGGGGGCAGCCTCATCTCTTGAAATTATCTAAATTCTGAAGATCCTATGAGGGCCTAGCACCTTCTCAGAGTTCTTGAGATGATAAGCATACTCCTGTCTCCTTTCTGTTTCATCCAGCACTGCCTGTCAAGGTAGACTGATAAACAGTACCAGGGTTGCTGAATGAACTGCTTAATGAAGTTTGAGCCATGCATGTTCTCCTGTGTGCATTCTGCTTATATTTGCAAGCTTAAACCAAATTCACAACTTGCCCAACTCTCGTTTAGATTCTCCCTGTGACTATTTTGTTAAATCACATTGACTGTTCCACACTTTTAAGCACTTACCAGCTCTTATCTGTGAAGTCTTCAGTGCATGAAGGCCGGCCTGCCATCAGAAATCCCATTGTTGTTGTTTTGTTGTTGCATCATTTGCAAACCATGCACCATTCAGCCAAAGGATGTGATCTCACCCAACACTTCTGGTTTCCCCCACACAGGGTCAAGCTTGAGGATCCAGCATTCCACAAAGCCACTGCCCTTATAGTAACCATGATAAGAGATCTGTGGTTCAGGGAAGGGTGCCAGAGAGAGAAAGATCTTTGCAAAATGCCAATCATCTTTTGGTCTGAAATCTCAAAGGATAGAGAAGGTTAAATCTCTATTGGGTAAGTGACAGATCTTGAGGGAAGGGGATGAAATGAGCAATTTACATTAGAAAATCAGAAAGACGCCCAAAAAAGAGTTAGGCACACACATTGCATACATGTCTCACAAAGGCTTCTAAGAAAAATGTAAAGTGATGCAAGATTTCTCTGGGCTTTGTCTCAGTTGGGCAATGACCAAGTTGATTACTCCAGCATTTATCATGAAGGACAATTATCTATGGTCTACCTTGGATTTGGTCAACAAATAAAATCACAAGTCAGTGTTAAAATGCATCCTTCATTCGGCTAGAACAGGGGTCTTCAATCTTGGCCTTTTTATGACTTGTGGACTTCAACTCCAAGAATTCCTCAGCCAGCATGCCTGGCTGAGAAATTCTTGGAGTTGAAGTCCACAAGTCATAAAAGGGCCAAGTTTGAAGACCCCTGAGCTAGAAGATCCTAGGTTCCAGCCCCAGCACCATCAGTGAAAGGACCCAGGTTACACATAATGGAGGACTCCCAAGAGTTCTACCAAGCTAAGATTACTACTTACAACCAATTGTTGTTACATGGTTTTAAATATTGAAAACATCACATGCATACATTTATTTTAAAACATTCTTATAATTCCCCAAACAAATAACTATAGAGTCTTGGTTTGAAAGTGGGAGAGAGAAAATGCCAGAATAACTTAAAGAAGAGTGAAACCTTTCATCTTATGCTTGATGTTCCTAAAACTGTTACTAAAGCTGTAGTTACACAACCTGCTTCATTTCATTAATTGAATGAATGCAATAGGACATGACGAACTAAGCAAGGTTGACCCTAAGCAAGCTTAGTATGCTGTGTGAATGCAACCCCTTGATTGTTAATTAGTCTGAATAAATGAATTGGGTGGGAACAACCTAAGAAAGAAATCTTTTTCACTTATTCCACACTTCACAAAATTATTGTGAAGATCACAGTTTTGTGGAAGAAAATCTAGTGCAGTTCCATTAGTAGAATGGTGGCATTTTAAAAGGGTTAAAATATATACTTAAAGCATTGATATAAATCAGAAAATGGTCTTTATGGCCATTTTTTGTAGGTATTATCAAAATGCTATCATATTGACAGTCTTGGCTTTGGGGAAGGATGAAGTAGGGTCAATTCTTTACTAAGTGATTATAAAAACATAAAACTGGTGATCCATGGATATATAGCTTTGTTTGCAACAATACAGAAATAGTTTCTGGTCACCTTCTTCCAGGATCTTTCTTCAACTTGTCAGTCAAGTCCATCAGCCCAAGGTTTGCTGGTGGTCTCCCATTCACGTCCTTCAAATCTAATCCTGTTTCATGTTTTATGATCAGCCTTACTCTGCTCACTCATTCATAATGCTGCTGTCCACTATGCCTCAGGCATAGTCCCTGGTGTTTAAACTTGAATCCTATCCCTGATCCTGGACCTTATTTCACTTGGACATAGAATTCAAGGGTTGGGAGGGTCCACCAGGATCAATCCTCTAAAAATACAGGAAAATAAATTGAATGGTGGCTGTACTCCAGGTATGGAGAACCCTCAACATTCATAAGTACAGTGTTTCACTCTTTTGTGAATCTTACTATTAAGGAGTTTTTCCTTATATTTAAACAAAACAAAAAAATCAACTGTATTTATGAATTTTTCATGAAAATTGATCAATTTGATCCCTTTCAGATCCTCACAGCAATTCTAAGAGGAAGATGAGAATGTGCCAAATGGGGATCTGAACTGAGATCTCCTAAATTGATAAGCCAATAACTCTTCACTTGCTTATCCCAACCAAGGATAAGATAAATTGCATTGCAATTCCAATCATTCTCAATTTGTCCTCTCCATGGTAGCTGGGAATTATGGAGGGGGAGGCAATTGTGGGTAATTACTATAAAGTTTTCCAGGCAATACAATGGCTTAGAACCATGCCATCTCTTCTGAGTTGCCCTTATATGCCCACATGGTGCTTAGGGCCAGTTCTAGGCTAAGGCAGAGTATGTACTGAAGCGACAAATTTTAGGGGGCACCAAAATACCTCTGAAAAACACTATAGAAAACCAAAGCAGCAGTAACAGCACATTGCATAAACCAGTTCACCTGCTTCAAGGTTAGAATTTTGCAGGATTCTTGTCATACAATAACAATGGGTACTGATGTCATTACAATTATTTATATAGGATGAAAATGTCTGAGAAAAAAATTGTCCAGGGCTGAAAATCTGTAAACTCAAAAAACTTGAAGGAACAAAGAAACAAGAGGACACCATGTTGAAATTCTTAACAAAATCAGAAAATGAACCAAACCAAAGGGGAGCACCAGAATATGGCTTTGCCTAGGATGCCAAAATATCTAGAGCTGGCTTGCTGGGGGTCTCCACATGTAATAGGCTGTCACCTCTTTCAACAGTACCAAGATGGTTTATGCTGGCTGGAAGGATATGGTGATCCAAACATGGAATGTGCTGCAGAACAAGGGTCTGATAATCTGGGCAAGACAATTTCATATTTTTTAATCAAGAGTCAGGAAGGTGGGAAAGGGGGCAGATAAGTGCCTTACTTGGAAAAACATTCTTGATTATCGGTTCTTGGGAGGTGCTAAAGAATCAGAAAGAGAGGTGGAAAATGAGAAGAACGTTATCGAAAACCTTTAAAGGGATTCAGTTAACAATACATAATCCCTCCCTACAAGCGACCGCAAACCTTTTAGGGGCAAGTTGAGTCAGGCAGGTGCAATGTGGGCACAGGTAGGTGAGGCTGGGAGAGATCATTTACATGTGGTGGTGGGGAGGAACAAGACAGGACGATTCAATGACTTCATTTTGAAATCCTTTAGCTGCAGAAGGGAGAGGAGAAGGAAGCTGGCTTTGCAGACTGACAAGCTACTGTAGGTTTCTGCTAGTTGTGGAAACCTCCCCGATATAAATATTGAAAAAGCGTGGGAAACAGTTTATACTTTAGCAGATAAGTGACCTAAAGTATTTATGGCCAGCAATCCAGATTACTCCATTTTCTGGTATGTATGCATGCCTATGAGTGTGTGTATTTCCACACTTACATAATAATCCTGGCTATGCTTGTCAGCTCTGCAAACAGTCTATAAATAAACTTCATCCTTTTAACAATATACAAAGCCCTTCTGAAACAGACTAGGTTGAAAGTCTGTGACTTTTAAAAAAAAAAAAAAAACAATGACTATGCTTATAGTGAACTGGGTTGAATCAATAGCTCTAAGTTTTCTGGGACTGATATACAGCACAGTAAGCTCTTAATTAGCTTAATAAGCTCTTAATTAGCTCTTAATTGACTGGATTCAGGGAATATCCAAGGCTAAGCTGTTGTTGGCTTGTAAGGAGTTCATCTAAACATAGCCAGGAGGTTGAGTGGCTAAAATGAGATTCAAACTCAGTTCTTTTCATCTGAACTCACTCAGATGAAGAAAGTAGAGTTTGGGAAATAAATGG